TTAAGGCGAAATATGTAGAGAAACGTTTTGTTTGTGCAATGCCTAAACCACATGAGTTGCTTGCTAGTGAAACTGCAGAAATACTATCCATTGATAGTGGCGGCGGTGAAGGCAGTAGCATACATAAATTAGATACTACAAGTTTATGTAAAACGTTATCTTTAGGTGCGCGAAAATGGGCAGTGAAAAAGTATCGCAGACGTGGTCATAGAAAACGCAAGCGTTCCAGTTCAAAATCTGATGAGGATGATGATAATGAATCTCTAGATATACCTTCAATGTCGTTGAGTATATCACGTGAAGACTTACTTGTTATTGGCGAAGAATTAACAACAGAGTGTCTTTCAATGCCAGCTATTCTTGGTTCAGATCAAGAATCTACAGAAGGCGAAAATGAACCAGAAGTGCTGGATGAAATCCCATTTTCGAAATTAGATGCAAATCTTATGTTGTATAAAGCGTCAAAAGTACATAATTTGCCCGTCATGTGCATGGCTTTTGCTTTGGGTGCTAATAAGCATTGGAGAAATGTGAGTGATTTCAATCGCACTTTTCTACATCAAGCCGTTTTGTCTGTGAGTGAAAAACATTTTTGATGTTATACACATATTAACATATATGAATTATATGAATTGTTTTTTACATCTCTTGTAGGGTTCAGTTATGGCTTGCGAATATTTACTTCTAAATGGTGTACCGATTGACGCAGTCGATGATAATGGTTTAAGTGCACTGCATATGTCTACAGATAAAGGTTACATCGCACAAGTGTATTTACTATTGAAACATAAAGCAAAATATGACACTGAATCAAACGATGGTAAAAAACCTTTGGATATTGCAGTTGATCAACGTAATGCCGATATTGTCACACTGTTAGTACACATTTCGGTTTATAATTATGTATATAAATAATAATAATAATATTTACTTAAAAATTTGTAGTTTACGTCTGACGCGTCTTAACGATGAAATCGGACTTAACGACGAAGGTAACGGAGAAGATGAAACTTACAAAGATGTGATGAAAGATTTTTCGCACTTTGCAGCAAGTCAACCACGTATGTTGCGAAATCGTAATGATACAAATACACTCGAATCACAACGTTCCTCATTAACGAATTCAGATTAGTTTTAACCAGCTGAAATAGTAAAATGTATTAAAGATCTGCATATCGTTGTTAGGCAAAGAAAATAAAGCACTGAAAATGAACAGGAAATTATTTGCATATATACATACGCCAGAGTGATTGACGTTTAGTTTTATTTATAACTGCTTTAAATATAAAATAATTCAATAATTTTACATGTTATTGTATGCTTCGAAATCATTCGTATTGTTAAATATTGACAAAAAAATTATATATATATTAATAAATTAATTGTATAAAAATATATTTATTATTGTATATTGTTTATATTTGTTTTAGGCAAAATTATGTTGCATTTTTAAAACAATTTATTTTGTACTTGTTATGGAGCATTTGTTTGAATTTAAATTTTAATACATTATATTTGAAATTAGTTTTTAACAAAATTAAAATACAGATATTCTGATTTCATGTTTATTAGTGTGAGTCTTTTGTAATGAATGCAAAAGCTTCATACGACAATTTAGTATACATTAAAGTAGTTATTTAAATATTCATTAAATAAAATTTTTTTATATAATTTAAAAATTGATTTTATTTCAATTTAATGTATTTTACATTTATACATTAGATCTTATATAAATTATTAAACAAATATATGTTAATATGAACATACTGTTAATAAATAAGTATATAAATTTTTGCATAATTGTAAAGTTGTTAAAATTTAAAACAAATACTTAAATAAAAATAATTGAAATATTCACTTATATGAAGATATGCTTTATAAGACTCTTATGATATTTTTGCATTTCCATTAATATATTCGAATAGAAGTGAAAAAGAAAAATATACCTTAATTCATACATAAAATACAGTAATTAATGTTTTAATTAAACATAAATTTATTTAAAATAAGACTACATATTTACAAGTAATGAGATATGATTGACTAAATGTAGAGTGAGAAAAACGATTGTTTGTGATAAAAGAAAGATTATGGTGCGGGTGGGATAATAATTGAAACTAGCCACACTTGAGCGTTTAGGAAGAATCTAACCGCTTTATTTGGTACGAGCCAAAGATTAATACGGCTTCAATTAATTTTTATTATATTACTTCAAATGTGTGATTACATATGAAATAGAGCTGGATGTGACGCACATATCGAAAAGTGACATATTTCTGCGTAGGGACTGTTTAGCACGTGGCTAAACTATGACCTAGTTAGACTAGGAGACATTACTATATGAGAAAGCGTATTTGATGCAATTATTAATAATTCACACATAACATTAGTAGTTTGGATAATGGGGAAAGATGCAAAATAAGACTTTAGATGGATCAGAATGGAAAAATTTTGTTTCCAATGTCTTGTTTTTATCAAGATATCTTCTAACTAAAGAAAGAAATCAAAAATTTAACATTGAAAAAAATCACGATAGGGAGCACGTCGGCTTAGATATAAATTATAATTTTAACTTAAGACTTACTTAAAATAATATAATCGAATTAACATATTCGTATATATTTATATAATAGTAATGCTCTAAATGTTAGTAATGGTCTTGACTACTTATTATACGCATAAAACAAAAAAAAAAAAATTAAAACATGTCAGATGCTCAAGTTCTCTTCTAGAGATTGAACGAATGTCAGTTTTGCAGATGATGATGTGATGTGAATTAGAATGCCGATGTTTTATTATTTAAATAAGAAACTAACAATGTACTGTGTTATTTTATTTTTATTTACATAATTATAATTCAGATTTCAGAGAAACGTGTTAATTTCGTAATATACATATTTATAAGTTATTTATAATTATTAACGATTATTAATTTCAGTCCAAGATATCATCATTGCAATTAATTTGCACTTCTATTGATTCTGTCTCTTCTTTCAAGGGTTTCGGCTCTCCATGTACAGTTTGAACGTGTCGTTTAACAGAAGAATGATCCGAGAATTTACGATCACATTGTGTACATTGAAAAATGAGTCCGGAATGAGTGCCCAAATGCCGACTTAGTCCGGAGGCATAGTTAAAACGTTTTGGACACAAATGACAATTGTAGTATTGGATATGAGGCACTGCTGAATGAACTTTTTTAATATGTTGAGTTAAACAAATTTTTTGTATGAACGATCGATCGCATTGTGTGCATTGATGCTTTCGCTCACCGGAATGCACATACATATGACGTGTCAAAACTTCACGTTGTACAAAAGATTTTCCACATATCTCACACTTATGTGGACGATCACCGGTATGAATGCGAAAATGTCGGGTCAAAACACTTTTGCATGAGAAAATAACATGACAAACACTGCATTTGTATGAAACGCCCTTTTCTAGAATTTTACTATGCGTTTTCATATGAATATTTAATCCGTATTCAGTAGAAAATGCCATTGGGCAGGATTTACATTTAAATGTTTTTGGTATATCTGGAGAACCGTTATGCTCAAAAGTCTTTAGAATAATTGCCGAAGTTGTGGTTTTCGTTTCTTTAATTTCAACTTTTTGAACAGAATTGACTAATGTAGCCTTTTTGTAAGTTTTATTTGATTTATTCTGAAAAAATATTTTAATTAAAGAAATTTTTAACGGGTTTTTGTTTTTTTGATATACCTTGATATCTGGAATATTATCTACGTTTTGGAATTCAATAATATCATCCATTTTAAAAATTTTGTAAACTCCCACCTTATCATCGTCTTCATTGATATCATCATCCTCAGAGCATAACAACGGAATATTTTCATTTTCAGCTATAATAAAATAAAGTAAAGTTAAATAATTCATATTTTTAATCATTTAAATATAACCAATTATAATAGTTTTGTGACCGTTTGGAGTATTGATCCATTCTTCACCAGTCATTACTTGTTTATTGACTAACGTAATCACGCCAGTTTCTATTATTAAATATTAAAGGAAAATATTTGAAAAAAGAAACTAAATAACACAATAGCTTTACCCATATCAATATTATAAGTATCAATATTCATGATTAACGGACCTTTAAGGATTTATAGAACTTTTCAAGACAATTATGTATTTTAAACAAAATTTATGACAGTACACAAATATTTATAAAATTTAAAACACAGTTCAAATGAAAACTTGACAGCTAATTATACGCGTACTATCTCAATTAACGCATTGTGACCAGTTTTTTGCTAATTGTATGGCAATTAGTTGCATTTCTATAGCAAGATTTTTAGGAATAATTTAGTTAAAAAGCAAAACTATTCACTAATAGTATGTGTTGATAAAAACAAATAAATTAAATGTAACCTATTTTAAATATTTAGATTATAATACTCAATATTTGTTGATATGAAAAGCAGAAATACAAAGGAGTGAAATGAAGTACATGACGCGAATTAGAAAAGGTTAATCTGTTGTAGGTAAGTATTTGGAAGAGTGAGCATGATCAAAATGAAAGATTCTTTCCAATTTTGTTAAAAGAGTGCAGACAAATTAATTTGTTATCAAATTTGTATGTGACGAATGACAATTACTGTTTATCTCATTGTTTCAAAAATATTTTAATGACTTGGTATACTTATACTAATTACAAACTATGGAACAGGTCTAAAAATATATATTATATATATATTATATTATATATTTAATATATTATATATGTAATATATTATATAAATATTATATTATATATATATATATTATATTATATATATTTTATATTATATATATATATTATATTATATATATATGTATATATTATATTATATATATATATATATATATATATATATATTATGTATTATATTTGCTACATTACATAAAACATATACTACTATAAGTGAATTACTTACTTTCGTCATAAGAATTTTCTTCAATGATATTGTCAGTATTTACTTCCTCGAAATTCTCAGTTTCTAAATTATTTTCCAACATTTTTTCATTATCTCCCAACATTTCTTCGTCGTTGCTATCATGAGGTTCATATATAAAAAAATTCGACTCGGAATCATCGTCATCTGACATTTTGTCATCATTCTCTGTTATAATCAAAAAAGGCGTTGCTTTATCATCGCTTGAATGTGATTCCTCCACTTTAAACTTTTCCAATATTTTCATTTTATTGTTTGACTTTGCTGCATTTTGTTCAATAAATGAACGCTTGGGAAGTCGTGCCTTCACCATAGTTTTTTCCGAAATATCATTTGCCTCTTTAGCATTTCTCTTTGGATTAAGTCTTTTATAAGGTACAAAATCAGTGTTTGTATTTGGTTCATTGTCTTTGCCCAAGCGTTTATTACTAATAAATACTTCTAATTCACCCAGCAGTTCCTTACGTTCTTGTTCTCTACATTCTTGTTGAATTTCGTTTTTAACCAACGCTTTACACTCCGGTAATAGAGTTTTACGTAATTCCTTCTCTACCTCCTTGCGCAAGTCATATCTAAGTTGATCAAGAACTTCATCAATTATTTCCCGCTTAACTTCACCCTTTACCTCGTCTCGCAATTCCGATTTGCATGTTTCATATATTTCTTTTTTATATTGCGATAATTTCTTCACAACATCTTTTTCCACTAAATTTGCCCTTCTCTCGTCTTCAGCTTTTAATTTTAAATGATCAATTTGTTTTATAAAATTTAATGAATCTTCAAATTCAATTTCGTCCTCGTCATCATCGTCGGTTTTTATGAAGCACTGGCTGATCCTACCCGAATTAATTAAGCGCAGATGTTTTCGCAGCTTGGAGTCCGTTGCTTGCGAACGTTTTCGTAGTAAATAGGATTTCTCCAATTGATAACGGCATTCAGCACAGATGTATTTTGGTAAATCATCATTTCTTTGGACTTCCAAAGAAGTGCAAGCCATAATACGCATTGGAATTGACATATTTGTTGTGGCATCATTGGTTGGATGTATGCTGTAAATGGCTCCGTTCACCTTCAAGCATAATCTACACAACTTCTCTAAATTAGGATAAGTATTTTCTAACATCTTGTATGTTAGGATTTTAATACACTTTAGTCGTTATTATACTTTAGTTCAGAATGGAAATTCTTTTTTATTAAACAACAAGCGTGAAACACAAACGCAAAATAAGCCGTAAAACTGTTTGTGTGCCATTCACAGTCTTGACATTTGCGCGAGTTATATTCAATTTATTGCATTTTGTTTTGCTTCGTTGCTTCGCATTTATTGTGAATTGTTATTAAAATTTATTTCATTTGTAGATAATTGCAAAAGCCGACTACAAAGTGAAAATAATAA